GTCGATTGCAAGTGACTTCGTAATTTAGTTTCTTTTTTCTTGTCTTCACCACCTGGCTACTGTTGTAAAATGTTGAGAGATTCAAACAAAAAGTAATCAATAAATAGAACAAAATAAAAAATAATAAAGACTGCAAGTGACGTCGCTAGCGGAAGTGCAAGTGTCTGAGAGTGAAAGCCTGAGAGTGCAAGCGCCAGCTGCAGCCAGACCCTTTTGAAACAATGTGCAAAGTCATTGAAGAAACAGTAATAAAATATTAACAGAATTACATTCACCTTTCTTGTGTTGCATTATATTTATTAATCCTCTCCGCCTCCTCTTTCTTCTCCTCTAACCAGCGGTCGAGGAGCTGCTCGTTCTGGAGGTTTGTGGCCGTCAGCTCCTCTCTCAGTGAGCTGTGCTCCAGTCTCAGTGCTGTCAGTTCCTTTGATTGACACTCCAGCTGATACTCATATTCCTCTAGATCAGCCTTCAGACTGGAAGCCCCCTGGGCCAATACAACCGCTTCGGTCCTGTAGCGGGCAACTCTATGGCAGGAAGACACAGAGGCCTATTAGGACTGCTTGTCTTGATGATTTCGTCGTCTTTTTCAGGATGTACCTGGCTGTTTGACCTACTGTGAGTGACAATATTGTAACTCTGCCTCCTTCAGGTATATATTGCCAGTCAGATCTGAGATTTTCTGCTTGAGCTAGAATAAAGAGAAGAGGACGGATATTCAATCGTTAGTAGTAGTGATAGACTCTGGAAACTGATACATTATTTCAGGATTCTTTGAGGAATAATGTTCAAAAGAACAGGAAGTCTGTAACCTTATAAATGTCTTTATTGTCAGTTTTGATCAATTTAATGCATCCTTGTTGAATAAAAATGTCTTTTTTTTTTTTTTTTTTACTTTTTTTTCCTCCAAACTATTGAATGGTAGTGTGTCAGGGTTTACACCAAAATATTAGGCAGCACAACTGTTTTTAACATTGATAATTCTAAGAAAATAAAAGTTTACAGCGTAGCAAATCAGCATATTAGAATGAATTCGGAAGGATCATGTGACACTGAAGGAGTAAAATATATTCAAATATAAAAGTTACTGTAATAATATTTCACAACATCACTGTTCTTCACTGTATTTTTGATTGAATAAATGCAGCCTTGATAAGCATTAGAGACTTCTTTAAAAAAAAAAAAAAAACCTTATTATTTCAAACTTGCATCAGAATATATACTGAGAATAAATGTTGGAATAAATCTATTAAAAGTCCCAGTTAATGGCTTAATATGCTCAGAAACAAAAGAAGGTAAAAACAAATTTCATATAGATTAAGCAACTGAAACCTTAATTAAATGTACAAAAAAACATGTTATGCACAAAATCTCAAGATCTGGTGGGAAATAAATGATTAGTTTTAGCAATAAGGCAGTTTATTACTGATGTTTATTGGTTTTGAATATTACTCTCACCTGTTGATTAAGAAATTCCATCTCATTCACTCTCAAATAAAGGGTGCCGCCTTCATCTGGGCATCTAGAGCTTCCATTATCTTTGGAACTGAGTCAAATATGACAGTAAACAATACATTTAAATGTATGCATAATCTATTCCAATAAGTCAAGAAATCAAATCAGTTCTAAAATAGATGTCAGGCATTGTGTGTCTTACCTGAGTTTCGTGTGAATGGTCAGCATCTCCTCCAGCCTGGACACTGTCAGAGCATCCAGTCATTACTGAAGCACTACTGATTGCTTTTTTCTGTACATTTGACAGCATCTGTAATAAAACTCACCTTTGTCAAACAGGCCAGAGAAAGGATCTCTCTGCCTGTAGTCTCTGTGAAACAGCTCTGCCCGCACGTGACTCTTCCAGGATTCCATGATCTGTGGTGGAACTCAGTTGGACAATTCACTTGTTTTAGACGCTTATCTAATGTATTATTACAGCGTTTTCACATTAGATATTACGTGCAGTCCTAGATAACTAATTTCTGTTGCAGATTTTCTCAAGATGTTGCGCAAATGGCTTCAATTACTAGTTAAACATCATCCCTGTTTAGTTTTCTCCAACGCAGTCAGCGGGTTTCGCGTTCTGTGATTGTGTTCTTCTGCGGCTTCCGTAGTTCGCTAAACCGTGAGAGCGCTTCGTGTGCTACAGTGGCAGAATATCTCGTCAAATTTAGTTTACGGTGCATCAATATAGATGTATGTAATTTAGTTTTCAAACGTATAGATTAATGAAGTGCGTTTATAATTTTTCAGTAATTAAACTCTCGTATAACGTTAGCTAAAGCGCGCGCGTTTGTCTGCTGTTGATCATTCTGTTTGTTTGTAAGTGTTGAGCGCTTGTATTTTGTATGTTTATACTTATATTTTCTATTTTTTCTGTAGGTTGTGTGTTCGGAATGGCTAACGACAGGCTGAGGGCATTAGAAGATGTGGAGAAGGAGATAGCTTCAGTGCTGCAGAGCGCAGGTTTGTCACTTCATAAATGTATGCATGGATTTAATGTCAGTAATGCTTAATATGTGACCCTGGATATATTTGTAGCAATAGCCATGGGTCAAAATTATCGATTTTTCTTTTATGCCAAAAATAATTCGAATTTTAAGTAAAGATCATGTTCCAAGAAGATATTTTGTAAATTTCCTGAAATTTTGATTAGTAATATGCTTTGCTAAGAACTTAATTTGGACAACTCTAAAAGTGATTTTCTCAATATTTTGATTTTTTGCATCCTCAGATTCCAGATTTTCAAATAGTTGTATCTCAGCCAAATATTGTCCTATCCTAACAAACCATACATCAATGGAAAGCTTATTTATTCAGACACCGTGTCAAATTCTGGGATTTGGATTGCGATTGCATTGTCTTTAAATCATGATGAAATCGTATTAAATATGATAAAACATACAGAACTGACGTCCCTGCTGACGAAAAGAAGCTTAAACCAGCTTAAGATAGTCTGTTACTAAAGTCCTAGACTAGCCAAGCTGGTTTTAGCTGGTCATTCAAGGAATAACATATTCTGTTACACCAAATACACAAAATAATGATCTTTAAAAAAGCATCATATGACCCCTTTAAAATCAGTAAACAGACCATCTAGGCCAGACTGGGAGACCAGCAAACTGGATTAAGTTGATTGATTTATGTTGTTTTACATTAAATTGAGTTTTGTGACTGACATTACAAATATACATATTTAAACCTGATATTTACAGCTTTACAGTGATACTATTTAGAGTTTTGTATGTTTATTCAAGTACACAAATTGAATAGTAGCAATCTGTCTTTCAGGAACGATCGTGCTGGAGCTTTCTAAAGAGAAGGCCAATGCCAGTTTATTAGACCGACAGCTAAACCAGTTCCAGACCTCCGTCAACAGAGTTGAGAGTGAACTGAGTGCACAGATCCGGTATCTGACACAGGTGTGTTCTATGTGTGTTCACATCTATCTATCTATCTATCTATCTATCTATGTATCTGTCTGTGTATCTATCTGTCTGTGTATCTATCTGTCTGTGTATCTATCTATCTTATCTGTCTATCTATCTATCTATCTGTGTATCTCTTATCTGTCTATCTATCTGTCTGTGTATCTATCTATCTATCTTATCTGTGTATCTATCTATTTATCTGCGTGTCTATCTGTCTATCTGTATCTATCTATCTATCTATCTATCTCTGTGTATCTGTGTGTCTATCTATCTGTGTGTCTTGTCTATCTATCTGTGTGTCTATCTGTCTATCTATCTGTGTGTCTATCTATCTGTATCTATCTATCTGTGTGTCTATCTATCTGTGTGTCTATCTGTCTATCATCTATCTATCTGTCTATCTATCTGTGTGTCTATCTGTCTATATCTATCTGTGTATCTGTCTATCTGTGTATCTATATCTATCTGTCTGTCTGTCTGTCTGTCTGTCTGTCTGTCTATCTATCTGTGTATCTGTCATTCTTTCTATTGTTCTGTTGTTCCATCTGTCAATCATTTTATCAATCCATTAATGCTGTATATATGTATAAAACATAGAATTGGAAGAAACATTTGACTACCTCTGTGATGTGATGCACTAACTTCTGTTTCTTTTTTCTTTCTCTCTTCCTTTCTGTTTTTTGAGTAAAGGTGGTAACAGGTCAGCCTCACGAGGGATCGACATACTCAGCCAGAAAGGACTGTCAGATGGCCCTAAACCGTGCAGAATATGCCCGCGTCAAACTGGGAGAGCTGGGACGCACCTGCGAGATAATGCTTGATCCGCAGACATAAAGACCTATTAAATGGACTGTTGCATTGTAATATCTGCCAGCTGACTTCATAAGTATCTACACGCATCGAAACCTTTCTGAATCCCATCTACAAGCATCAACACTTTTTGTTCTTCATAATCTAAAGAAATTTTGTTTGACAAACTCAGTGATTTAAATATATTTCCCGTTGTAATATCACCAAAGCTTTTGTCTTATTGAGAAATGTTACAGGTTTTCTTATTTTCTGTTATCAATTTTTTATAGTTATGACAAAAGAACAATAAAAACATTTTTTCCACTAGTATTTTATTGAAGGGAACATAAGACTCTCCATTCACATATCTTACATTGTTCATCACAAATGTGATAATATCAAGTATACAACACAAGCGTGTACTTCAATAAAAGAATAGACATTTATATTACCACACAAATGTTTAAATATTGAAATTCAAAAAAAAAAGTCAAACATACACACATTCTACATGAACACCATCAAATATCATATTGACTCCTAGTGTTTTATAGTGTCTTTTAGGTTATTCATCAGAAGTCAACTATTAAAGACCTTCTGCTTGTTTTGTTTATTTATATCATAGGGAATGTGGAGCCGAAGATCTGAATATTTCTGAAAAATATAACACATAACATGCATATATACTGTTTTACATGATTATTTCAATATGTATTCATTACGCAATCAATATATCTAGTGTTTAGATTTTGACCTGAAGATGAACTGCCAAATATATCCATTTCAGACAATGTAACAGAACAGACTGTCCTCCAAGATCATTGAGAAGTCTTTTAAAAATAAATAATTATGAAAAATTGCTATTGAATTTGAAATTGTTTGGGTTTATGTGACCATGTACTCCTGGCGCTTGTTAAGGCGAACCTGACACAGAGACACAGCGCCGACACCTACGTAGATGGCAGCAGCAATGAAGCAGTTGATGCCGACTTGGTTGTAGAGTCCATAAATGTTCTGCGGTGGATTCTTGCTGTTGAAGATAAGAAAGCTCACAAGTAAACATTTGCGTGTAGAAATGCCATATTTGGCAGTTCTCATTCGATACATGTAGTCTATTCAAAGTCGTACTTACATTCATATACAACCATTCAAAAATTTAGGGTCGGTAAGTTGGTAATGCTGTTGAAATTAGTCTCGTATGATCACCAAGGCTGCATTTATTTGATTAAATATATAGTAATATTGTGAAATATTACAATTTAGGAGAACTATTTTCTATTTGAATATATTTTAATATGTAAATATAATTTATATAATAAATATAATTTATTCCTGTGATGGCAAAGTTGAATTTTAAGCATCATTACTCCACTCTTGAGTGTCACATGATCCTTCAGAAATCATTCTAATATGATGATTTGGCTCAAAAAAAACAATTCTTCTTATTATTTTGTGATGAAAGGAAAGTCCAAAAGGACAGCATTTATTTGAAATAGAATTTTTTCTTTGTCTTTACAGTCACTTTTAATTAAATGAATGTGCCCTTACTGGGTCAAAAAAATAAATCCTACTGACCCCCAAAAGGTAAATTGTCTTAATATATTTGATCAGATACCTCTCTAGAACATGACAGCATTAATATTTAAAGATGGGGGATAGTAACTTACTCATCACGGATGTCTTCCTCAGTAAAAGGAACATCTTCGATCAGCACAGCAGATTTTGCACTGAAGAAAATCCCCAACATTGACTGGAAAAAAAGCATAATAACAGGATTTTTTATTAATATTCAATATTACGACATTAGGTGGAATTAATTATGGATATTGGAACCCAATACATATCTATTAAAATACACACACACAAAGAAAAAGAAAAGAAAGAAAAGGTAAAAAGAATGTCATGTCAAGGCGGTAAAGAATAGCTATGTAGGCCTTTACATCCCATGATCCCAACACCTGCTGTTATATATAGTCCTCATATCAAGCTCCCGGTATATTCGACAGATAAATACATGACTGAACAAATCTGTCTATGCACATTTATTATAAATGTATGCCCTTTTCTATCAAAAAAATAAATATATCTAAACACAGCAATATTTACTATTATTATACAGGAAGAATGTTCCTGTCGTTGTAGCTACAGCTAGCAAGCAATGTCACGATGGTTATAATCCTTACCAGCATAATGACACCCCAGATGCTTAACACGATCCCACAGGCGGCCAACTTCGGCCCACAGAATAAAAGCGACGGCATTTTATCCGAAATCGCCCACCGATTCTTCCTCTCAAAAAAACCCAGGAAAAGGATGCTACATCCAGTCGGGATGATGTCTCCAGCTTTCTCTCGATCCAATCGACGGGATATAAATCGGCAGCACTCGGGTATGTTCGACTAGTTCCGGAAGCGCATTCGACTGCGCTCGGCTATTTTCGTATGGGTGTTGCGCAGATGGTGTGCAATCATTTGATTGGCTATGCACTGACCAATCACACGCCTCATTTTCGAACCGCATTGTACTCTGGGAATTTTTAGTTCGAACTATTATGTTCCGCTCATGCTGATTATAGAGCCATTTTTATTAGATATATAATAAAGATAAAGATATTTTCCTACGAATGGTCACTGGATGACTGCAGCCGTCATTTTAAACCGGTTTGATCGTTGTAGTTATTAAGCGCAGTTGACTGAGACTCGACTGGACTGTTGTTGTATTTGTCTCCACTCCAGCATGACTTCAGCTTCCACAAAGGTAAACATTTGCATTGTTTTGCATTATAAATATTCTTAAGTAAGCGATCAATCAAAAGCACATATACATGTCAATCAGGTGGGCGAGATCTTCTCGGCTGCAGGCGCTGCTTTCTCTAAACTGGGTGAACTGACCATGCAGCTGCATCCAGTGGCAGACTCCTCTCCTGCAGGGTGAGATGTGGTTTATGACCTGCTTTCCGCTCAAACCGCATCTTCTGCTGTATTTCAAATGTACCGTTGATGTTTAAGTATAGTCGATATTTCATAACTGACTTCTCTCAGAGCCAAATGGACCGACACGGAGATCGAGATGCTGCGTTCTGCAGTTCGCCGCTTCGGTGAAGATTTGAACGGCATCAGCTCAGTCATAAAAGAGCGGACAGTGTGAGTGTTTCTGAAGCTGTAGGTATGATAGAGTTACAGCTGGGTAATAGTAAGATGTTTTTTAATTACAATATATTAAATACTATATATTAATATTATTATTGATATATTAAATATTACAATTCTCAAACATTACATGTAATATAATTTAATTGTGTGGAATATAAAATGCATGATTTTTGTGACAGGATACATTTTCACATTTGTATTTTACATTGTCATTCAGTGTAACAATAGCTTATATACCAAAACATCTTGTCAGGCAAATTTAGAATAAGACTCATTAGATGACATTAATAGACTAAAACGAATTAACTGCAGTTTAAATCTTTACCAATCTTTGCCACTGTCTTTCAAATAACTAGGTTTTAACCATTTGTCAAAGACATTTTTTTTTTAATATATAATGAAATTTAGTATGATCACTTTTTCTTTTATACATTTTAATAAGTACAGGTCAGAATAAGCATGTTTTTTCATACATATATCTGTTACGCCGAATGACGATGGAACATTATTTCACCCATATTTTGACGTTTTATTTTCACAAACATTTTTTGAAATATTAAAGTAGACACTTGCATTTAATATGCTTTCTATGTATATAAAGTCTTTTTTGTCCATTTAAATGGATGCGGACACCAAAATGCCTTTGACCCATATATAAATATGATAAAGAATGATATCAGAAAGTCATTTATATATTCTGTGAAAGTTATGTATGGTGCCATCTTACCCCAGTAATTAAATAATTTTGCATTTTGTGCTCTAACAACTAAAATTAGCTGATGCATCATCACATGATAAACTAAATATAAATCAAATAATCTAAATATGTTACAATTTAAACGTAAATGCACATTGTTCTTAAAGGAATAGTTCATCTCAAAAATGAAAATTCTGTCATCATTTACGCAAGTCATTCCAAACCTGTACGAGTTTCTTTATGGAAGTCAATAGGGACCAACAACTGTTTAGTTCTTTAAAATTCTTCAAAATATATTCTTTTGTGTTCAACATATAATAAGAAAGAAACCTATACAGGTTAGGAATGACACGAGGGTAAGTAAACGATGACAGAATTTTCATTTTTGAGGTGAACTGTTCCTTTAAGGAGGACATCTTCCCCCATCTGACCCTATCTTACCCTAATGCACCACAAAAAAACTTTGTCTCTCTTTTTCCTTTCATCTTGTAGTGCCCAGATTAAGACCACAGTGAAAAGGAAGCTGTATGAGGACAGCAGGGTACCTCTCACTGCAGAGTCGCCTAAAAAAACCATGAAGAAAACCACAGTGACGCTACCGCCGCCTCCTGCATCAGTCGCCCCCACTGTTATCGCTGTGCCGACCTCGCAGGTTGTTGTGACAACTGGGTTGCAGAGTTCTTCATCTTTACAACCAGCAATAAAGAACCCTAAACCAGCAGGTGACTCAATTTCAATGAAAAAGGATAAATAATCAAACAAAATCCAAGCAGTGTGGTTATATGTCTGTCAGTGCACTTACACAGTTTGGCTGTCTATTATCAGATGTGACTCTGAGTGCTCTGAATGACTCTGATGTGAACAGTGATTTGGTGGATATCATGGGACTTGGAGAGGGTTCCACTAAAAAACCAAACTTTGACCAAGGTGAGTCACATTTTGAATGCATTGAAGGATAGAAATGAAAGAAAATGAAATGAAAATTCTGCCATCACTCACCCTTGTTATCATTCAAAAACATTTTATGGTTCATGTGCATTCATTATGAAGCTGGAAAACAGGGTTTTTGCAAGTCTTAATTCACCCCTCCAAAAATGAAGTAATGGCATTAAATCTTGCATGCACGGCAAAAAAATTAATATCTTCCTCTGTATTTTTGTCTTGTTTTCCAATACAAGTATCTAAACATCTTGAAAGCAAGATACATTTACTTCACATGCAAAATGAAGATAGTTGAAGTCTTGTTTTCTGAGAAATTGAACAAAATTAAGTTTATGCCTAAAGCAAGTATAAATATCCATCAATGGGGTCAGAAAATGTTTTCCATTTAAATTAAGTTGCTTTGTCTGAGCCCATTAGCAGATATTTGTTCTTGTTTTAATTGTAAATTCAATTCACTTTGATTTCACAGAAAACAGGACTTCCTATCTTATTGCTATTCATTGATTGAACAATCTATATATTTGCTCTGGAAAATATATTTGCTTTTACAAATACGTCGCAGAAGATAAAGTAAAAGGTATTTCCATGTTGTAGTTCAACTATATATTAAGTAATGGAAATCTGTTGGATGTTTTTTTTTTTTTCAAAATGCTGATGCATACTTATTGTGTGCTCCATAGACACATTTAGAGAACATATTGACGTTCCCTTTAATTTATTGCATGAATTTTCTTTAATTGGTCTTAAAATGGTCTTTAAAAAGTCTTAAATGTACCTTCATAAAACCTGCAGAAACCCTGTAAAACATTCATTCCATTCATTGTAATTGCATGTTTTTTATGCATTTCCTGCATTTTTTGTGTATTATTCAAAATTGTTTCACAGATACTGATATCACAAATAACATGAAGGTGACTACATGGTGACAGAGTTTTCATTTTGGGGTAAATGAATGCATAGGAACAAAGTGTGTTGATTAAATGTTACATTTTCTTTCTTTTTTCTGGCAGAGAGCTTGAATCTGGACTCCAGTCTTATAATGAACTCCAGTGATCTGCCTCTGCTGTCCCGCTGATCTTCACTTGTCAGTCGAAGTGATATTCAGGTGCAACGGGGGGAGCAAAGATGACCAAGCTTGATCATTGCTGTACACCTCTACCACCTTTTCTGCTGTGGCTTCAAACAGCACCAGATCTGTACTACATCGCCAACCATTCTCTACCCACGTTAGTGAAGATGAAGTATTACTCCATGAAAAATAACGGCATCCTTAGCTCTTATTATGCAGCAAAAATAGATAATGGAATTATGTTTTTAGTGGTTCATGTTGTGTGATCTGATCTGCCCACAGCTGAAAAGGGGTTTACAGGACAGTGGTCAAACTACTTGTAAAAATCCTTCCTTTTTTAATTATTAGGCCCTTTTGGCTGAAGTAAAGCTTTGTGAAGTGAAGTGAGATGCTGCTTGTAATGAAACAACATCAAAAATAGTTTCAGGAAAATTTTACCATTTTCTTTCACTGCCACTGTATTAGGTGCAGCTTCTATTCTATGTATATATATTATTTTTTTACCATTACAGAATAATTAAACAGGTCATTTCAACAGCAAACATAAGACATGCCTGCTTAAATTTTATATGTCCAAATCATCCTGTCATACAATTTCTTGGCTCGGCATAAAAAGACAGCATACAAATCAATAAAATTCGTTTTTATTATGATCTTTTTCTTAAGAATATATGGTATAATATACATTTTATGGTAAATGAGATTTCTTCTCTGATAAATGGACATTCATCATGGGCGACTGAGAGGGAATAAATGTACTTTTGCTACCAATATGTCAAAAAATATCCATCTTTCACTTAATTTTTCTGGCTTCCAGAATATATTTACAACTTGAACGAAATCTATCGGCTTTGGCATTTCTTTACAATGTTTTTCGTGCGGTCACACAATCCATTTAGTTTCTTCACAACACCACTCAATCATTTAAGGAGAACAAAGAAAGGACAAATCGTGATTCTCTCTCTCTGACAAACGGATACAACAGAACCTGTCATAATAAGTGTATGGCAAATCTGAAAAAGAAATGACATGGTACTTATTCTACAAATGATTCAGAACAAACAGCTGTCAAGTCTTCCATTCAGGTTCTTGATACATACCTGGAACTGATTATCCCGATGAACTTGACATACTAATTCCAGCAACTTTAATGCATATTGCACATTTGTAATCACTTTTAAAGACCCATAAACATTGGTATCAAACTTTGAAATCTCAAGGACCCCAACAACTGGAAATTGCAAATGACAGTGCAAGTAACTTTGGAATTAAAACTAAAGCTGTAAGGCATTATCACTGAATTAAAAAATGAAATGAGTAAAAATAAAAGGCAATGGCATTATATCGAAGAATGAGCTGCATTCCTCCAGATATATGAATATGGAAACAGAGGAACGGCTTCAAATGTCTGATGTGCAACTTTAGAGACCGACAAGCTGCCGGTGTCCATACAATAAAAACTTTAGGAATCAAGAATTATGACAATGAAGTACATACTGCTACCAGAGCCTTTACACATTCATAAATAATGTAACAT